ATGTTGCCCTTTTAATGTTTACTTTCTTCATGATCTTGATTAAGATCCTCTGGGTCTCCTGACTACCCCAAGGAGTAATGCTGTGAGCTCACTACCTTCCTCCCCCCTATAGGTCCTGCTTCCTCTCTCATAACTGCGAGACCTTCTTTCATTAGTATGTCCTGTAGACCTGGACTTAATGGATAGCTAGAGTGAGTGAGCTGTTTTTTTTATGTTTTGTTATGTTTTTGTCTATGTTAAGGACTCTGTTTTGTACTACCCTTTACTACTAAAATCGAATAAAAAGAATTAAAAAAAAAAACTGAAAATGATTTTGGACTCTTGGATATTTGGTTTAGTGCTCTTATTGGACTGTTTACATGCAGCAGATTGATGTTATCCTACTTTTTAATAACAAAAAGGACAGCTTTTTTTACAAATCATACTATATTGGTATACTGTGACATGTAAAAGATATATTCATACAGGCTTGTAAAGTTACAGAAAGATCCATTAAATTTGCACTTTCAATTGCAAACTTTGCATCTGCTCATATGCTCAGGGCTAGGACCTACAAAGATTATAATATGAACCTCTCTGTTCCTCTGCATTCTGTTTGACCTGGTATGCAGACTAGCCACAGTGTTCTGGTGCTCTTTGCTCTACACACTAAGACTGTAATCTGCATTTCCATCTCCGGGATATAGTGCTCATAAAGTAGAATTATGGCCAGACTGTATTTTGGTATTCTTAACAAGCAATAAATAAGCTTTTAAGAAACCCTGGAATTAGCTGGTAGAATTAAGACCCAACCCGCCCTGTAAAAGAAAAAGGAATACTTGGGCTTCTGGCAGGCAATGGGTTAAATCTTAGCTCTCTTTCTGGGTTATGACCAATGTTGCTATCCAGAACGTTTGTGTGTGTTACAGCATGTGATGTATAATGTATGGCAGGAAGAAGCAGGCTGCACAGACAGTGTGAGATAGCAACAGTGTCTGTAACTCATAAAGACAGTGAAAATTTAACACATTGATTAGTGTGTTATTTTTATAAGGTGGCATTGGTCAAACTTTTGCTCGCGAGCTAAAGGGTCATTTAAAAACAAGCCCTCACTGACCTCTGTAGCTGTAGATAATATAGAGTAATTCATCCTCAAATTTACAACAGAAGTCTATTGAGACATTTTGTCTCAATAGATTTTTTTTTCTCTCCCTCTGTCAGGAGAGAGTTGTAATCTCTAATGTAAACACAGAGCAGGTATACAGAAAGAGGAGAGAGAAGAGTGCTGAGTCCTAACTTGAACAACTTCACTGCTTTTTTCTATTGTGAATGTTAAGGGTGAATTGAGCCAACAAGCCTGTAGCTCCAGAGGTCAGTGAGGGCTTGTTCAAACAAAATAGTTACTGCTTGTTAAGAATATGTAAACATTTCAATGGCTATAGCCTAGCAACAATTCTACTTAAAGATGTAAGGAAATTTAAAGGGCACAGGAACCCGCATACTCTACAGGGTGCATGGCAGGTTCAACCATAGACTTGTCAAGTCAGTAGTGCTGAAACTCAAATGTGTCCTTGTTGCATTACCCCAATGCTGGTCTTTACAGACAGACAAACCAATGGAAATCTTGACTTTAGGAAACATATCTAAACATGTTTATATGTCTCTTAATCTGGAAATAGATCAAAGCCTTTGTAACAGAACAATTTGTGGATGGAATACCATTCTACCAATACCTACATTGCCACATGTAGCAACTGCTCACATAATTCATACATTTCATTATACATTCTTCTTTGTATTGTGTGTTTTCTTCAAACATTTTCTGCCCAGATACTTTCAAGGGATAGACATGTTATGGCTGTGTCAGGCAACAACAAGTAAATAGGATGAAAAGGGGACTTCTTAGAGATCAAAATGACTACAAGTACTGACGACATTGGCTTTTGCATAGAATTCACTTTGTTCTTCTGGTTTGTCGTCAGTATTATTATTACCCTGATAGTCACTTAATGAGCTATTTTGATTTAGATTTTCAGAGTAACCGTTTTTCTTTAAAAACAAATGGCTAAAAATGATAATGTTGTCTGTTCATGGAAAAACAAGGGTTTTGTTTAATCCCTGCCTTTTGCCGCCTGCAACTGAATGGATCTCAAGAGGGAGACCATGGGGCAGATAGGCTATTGGGGTCTGGGAATTGAGCTTTTAATCTACACAAGATGTCAATGTTTAGTTGACAACAGTAACAATCAGCCTCAAATCTCTGCCCTCTGCTGGTAATTATTCAGCACTGCAACTCAAGTCTGTACTGTGTGCACACTTGACTTCACTAGTGGACTTGAAAGTGAAGCAAGAACTTTAAGCCATTGTTTGGCCAACAGGTTTGTGTGTGTGTTCATATACTGGATAACCATGTGTCCTTATATTCTGTTAGTGGCTTGGATTAATTAATTGTATTGCCTAGACTCTGAACTTTTTTGTCTGTCTTTACCCTGATCATCAGACTGTTACTTTTGCAATTGGCAGTTAGCCTGCTGATTGTTGCTATTTGCTCTGACCCTCTGTCTGAGGACATACACCACTCCAGCTTTTGTCCTTGCTGTTTTCAGCCATTTCTCTGGCTACACAGTGGGTCTAGCAAATTCTGTGATGGCAACCACATGTCATGCTTCTGTGGCTCACTAAAGTCATTTTATATGCTCTGCCAACAAAGGCATGCACAGACCTGATAGGCAGCACAACAGTCAACTAAGGGAATGCAAATGGAAGACTGATGGACAATACTGCTACTAAATACCAGGCAGCATGTCTACAAAATCCTTTGGCAGGTAAAACATTAAACATGTATTTATCTGACTTGGGCACTGGAGTCTGTAGTTTCAGTTTAAAGGCAAGTTGAATGTCATGGGAGTAACTGTCCAAATGTATGGCCACAACAAAGCCAATTCGTGTCACTCTCCCTCCTAGACTGTCCTTAATGTAGAATAAAATTGTAACTGGGAAATAGCTATGGGAGAGTGACACCCTCATTATAGCCTTATGGAAGTCAATGCATTGTCAATGTCTTTAATGTAAAACTATGCTCCCCAATAAAAAAAAGAAAACTTTACAGAATGTAATTGTAAGTGCATCCCTCCATTGCCCTCCAAAGTCTCTCAAACACTTTTCAATCCTTCCAGTGAAGTCTACTCAATGCAGTTTCTTTTGATGTGATGACAACACTGCTGCATTACTCCTGGATTCAGAGCAGTATTGAGTCCCTCATGAAGGCTATGCCTGCTTGTACTACAATGGGAAGAGAAAATGTTGCAAGAAGCATGGCTTCAGAACTGTTACTGCTGATTCAGTAGCCTTAAGCCTTGCCATTTAAACTCAATAAACAACTAGCCACATCTACCCCTGCCCTCTGCTTTCTGGATTCACAGCACTACTTCTGCAGCTGAAACCTTCACAACGTAACCTGCAGTGTCAAGGAGGAGACCATGTGAGGCAATCAAGGAGGATTTGGTTCACTCAAAGGAGTGTAATGGAGATTTTTGAGGCTAGTGTATCACATGATACTGTATTTAGATTCCGCACCTGTTCAGATTATTACAGGCATAAGGAAGAGCTGATTACAGGATCTGATGTCAGGATTTTAGCAGAATTGCTAGAAGTACTTATGCAGTGCCTAGGTGTACGAGCCCTTATCTATGTGTACGGTAAAATTACCATTACATGTTAGGAAATCTTTGCAAATGACAGAAAGCACTTCTCATGCTTATGCATGCGTATTAGTAATTGCTTGTTACTGTTTATGCTCCCTGATTAACACAAGAGATGCTTGAATCAGTGACAGCATTTCCAAACCAACAGGCCATATATGGTTTCCTTGAAGTTAAACCCAACCATAATATTTTCAGTATTTAATATAATTGGGAAAGTTTAGAAACCCTATCAGCTTTTTATTGCTGTCTGTATATACCCATTGGTGAGATTTCCCTGTAGTTCCTGTCAATAGAGACACAACAGAAGGTATTTGGAACTGATGTACTCATTGGATTTTGTTTCTTTTATGGTGAAAAACATAACATTTGCATTACCCTTTACCTGCTATCCCAGTGGTAATGGCCACCAAGACTAATAGAGAGGGAACATCTCCCATGTAAGGACACAGACAGCAATACAAAAGTTACATAGACTCTAACCCTCATCAACTTGATCCTAATCTAGAAATTTTTAGATTGGAACTTAAATTTCAGTCCTCTCAAAAGCATTGGATAAAATGTAATTAGAGGATTAATTTGACACATCAAAGCATGCTGTGATATCTATAAAAATATACATATTTATTCAGTCAAATCTCCTGCTCTTGACACTGACGAGGATCAAGACAGTTGCAAACCAGGGAAATTCCTATTTATGCCCATGTTTCCACCAAACAGACTCATTATGAAAATGAGGTAATAGAAAAGTGAATTGAATACATTTTTGTTACAAAAGTATAAAAATCTTGCACCTTGATGTTTCAAAAATACCCCTTCGTACAACTTTGGCCAGCACAAGCAGTTGATTTTTGCCTACGTTCCCTGCAATTGTTCAAATACTTTGAGTAATGACCACTTTTTTCTCAAATAGAAGTCACGTGATCAGCATTTTCCTGAATTTCAATGCACTCAATCTCTTCTCTTTCTTTCCGTTTGGCTCTTTTCTTTTTCTTGTGGCGTTTTTTAGAAGGAGGGAAGAAGGTTAAGAAAACAGGCAAAATGACGAAGCAGTGCAGTATCGTGCAACTACCAGTCAGCAGCAAGCATTTAAACAGTGTGGAGGTCAAGTTTGAAGGCACAAACAGAAGGGGTACCAGCCCAGCAAGAAACGATATGACATTCTGGATAATAGCTGTGCCATGCTCCTTGAGTGAATCTTGTATGCATAGAGTTCTTGTGTGCTCAGTGGCTAAGACAAATGTATAAAGCAGAGGGGAACAGTGATCTATGGCAAAGTTCAAAGCGTACATAAGGCACAAGATGGATACGCAATCCATATCAACGTTCCATAATGTCATTAAACCCAACACCCCCCAACTCAATAGAAGTGACAGTGATTATCAGCCAGAAGTTTCCCAAAGGATGAATGACCAAGAAGAAGGTTAAAATTAACACCAGCAAGATGCTAAAACCAGAGATAATGACTGGCATTGTCACTGCTAAGCCATAGTGATCCATAAAAACAAAGGTGGGGTTGAAGACGATAAACTTTATGCTTTGTATCAATGAGAGTGGCCTCAGCTTTTCAAGGAGCTCAACCACTTCCCATTGTGTGTTTTCACTAGTCCTAGCTACCAGATACATCCGGGATGCAATGATATTCAATTCATCTCCTGACCTAGAAATAATTATGTCATTTCTGAAGTGCTGAAATTCTGGTTTCCTCAAGAAAACATTCTGGAGAACATTAATAAAATCTGTTTTGTTTGATGCAGAAATATTGCCAACCTTTAGAAACTGGTAGAACTGCTCAATCCAAGATTCCGTATTGAATCCATGAGTTATGGTTTTCAAGTCTTCTTGAACAGTTGCATTCCAGTATTCAAGGGGTTCATAGATATAGAATCCAATCACAGGACTATAGTTGCTAAAGTACTTTTGTTGTATAAAAGCATAAGAAACACTGGGAGAGTCACTTGCTAGAAGGTTTATAATGTTCGATCCACCACTAATTTGGAGGCAGCCCATGAATGAGAATGATGCATAGATGAGGTATAATATGACCACGAAGGGTTTGACATATGTATTTGTGATCCAGTCATTATAATGTTCTCTTAGAAAATGATGAATGAAATGGTTCTCATAAGGGTCTGGCTCATGGTGGGTCGAATGCTGATGCCCATCGCTCATCATTGTTTGAAACCATATTGGTTGTCTGTCCAAATATTCCTCGGAAGGAATTTTACAACAGAAGATACTGTGATATCGATTTTGCTCCAGTTGGCCAGCAAAGACTAGGCACGAACCATAGAAGGAGAAAACATAGAAATAGTTTAGGACGATAGTAATGCACATGTTCTGGCAAAATATCTTCACTGCCTCAATGTTTGTAAAAGGACTAGCGCCCATTCCAAATGTGATGATGTACAGAGAACTGGTCATTGTATATGACACCATTACATCAGAGTAGGCATCTGCTACCCTGTCTTTAAAAGGTAAACTCTCTCTGGTTCTCCTCCATCCAGAAAGAAGCTCAAAAACTCCTTTTGTTCCATGACCTGAAAGACAAAACAAAGGAAACTGTTTCATAGTCTAGGATATATTATACTTCACCTAAACACAGTGTTCGTTTTCAACTTAAAATATGGTCAATTCATCCAAAATAAAATTGTTTTCGGTCAATGTAGATTGGTGCATTCCAACAGTTTCTTACATATCTCTGGATTTAAACAAAAATACCTAGATCTCCTAAACTCTGCATCATTTGGTGATGGCAGATCTCCTTATTTGTTTTCTATGTATTTTACACAATAGAGAATGCAGTATGATAAATATGATTGTACACTGGGTATAGGATATCATCTAGAAAAAGAGTTTGGTATGAAGGGAATCCCCGTCCGCTTTGTTTTTCAAACAGAAGGAAGTGGCGGGGAGCCGTCATTTACTGGCAATTTAAACATTTTTTTTTCGTAAATGTCAGTTTTGCTGAAGTAGATTGCAAATATTGTACAGGTGCACTGCTTCACTGACCGGTTATAGGCATCCCCCCGACATGTTATTTAAAGGAATTGTACATTTATAATGTTCCACTTTAAGAATTTATAAAATTGAATTTTAAAACGTTTTTTTTTTTTTTTTTTATTTGGTCCATATTTCTCAGGGCAATGCCCAGCCCCTAAAAAATGTCAATTACAGTGTCTTAACATTCAGCTCTCATTGACTCCATTGGGGTTCAAATTCAGCACCTGAACTTCAGTAATGTTCACCGAAACCACCTCAAACCAAACCAAGGTACTTTTGGCTCATCCCTATGCTCCATTAGTTTCATAATGTCCAGCTATGATGGGTGCTATATGGAATTTGGATTCACATGCCTTGTTGGAAAGCCATCCTTCCTCGTTGTCAACTATGCCCATTGAGATTTAAGGATTTAAGCTACTGGTATATTGGATAGTTGGGCCATTTGGGATCTGACTGGGGAAGAGGTGCAGCAGCAATCCTTTTTATATTTGTTCTCAGTGATAAGAATCCCAGGCTGACAACTACCGGGCCCAGCAACCCAATGCTGAAAACAAATATATTATTACAGGGAGTCTAATGTTAACAGTCTGGTAAAACCTGACCATAGACTTGCACTTGCAGAGAGGAGCAGTAAACTATAGTCACTGTGAACCATTACAAAACAGGAAACCGAGGCTATACAATTGCAATATCCGCACTTCTGGACCAATACCCAAGCTATGAAGTAGCCGCCAACACCTCTTTATATCCAACAGGACATAAATATGAATAATATATATATATATATATATATATATAAAAAATATTTTTATATTTATCACATGGGAGTTACCACAGCATTACTGCATTTGGGTTTGTAGCGCCACACTATATATATATATATATTATAGGCTTTTTATAGGCTAATTCGATGTATTTATAATTAAAATATTAGCATCATTAATATTAACATTTGTTGATAATGCTAGGCTGATTGTATGCAGAAAAAAAAAAAAAAAAAATATATATATATATATATATATATATCATGAATAATCTATGTGTGCTGTAAAAGAGAATTAGTGCATTTGGGTTTGTAGTGCCACACTATACATATATTTTATAGGCTTTTTATAGGCTAATTCCATGTATTTATAATTAAAATATTAGCATCATTAATATTAACATTTTTTTTATAATGCTAGGCTGATTGTATGCAGAAAAAAAAAATATATATATATATACATAAAACAAACTGGGGAATCGAAGGGGAATCGAGTCAAACGCCATAAATAATTGATGAGGATGAGATACTGTAATTGGATCAGCTGTATGCGGAATCTATGCAAACTTCAGAAGATTTTATTCTCTAAGAGCTGACAGCATGTCATTCATTCCTAGAACTTTGCCGGAGCAATCAATCAGTGACCTGAATAAACCATGACAAAGTTTGTCTAGCCATACACAAAGGAAAAGGGTGAGATTTTTTAGAGGTAAAAAAATGTTAAAACTAGAAAAGTGTGTTCAATAAGAAGTGTGCTTATTAATTTTAATTAGGTCAATTAATTAATTATTTAATTATGTATATAGTCTGCGTGCACTAAATTGTCATTTTCCTAACAAACCTGTCCACTCAGGCTTCTCTGGTTATAACAGACAAGCAATAATTAACAACTGCGTACAATGAAAGTCTTTTTGTTAGCCATAATTAGATAGTACAGGGCAGGGTCAAACAAATCCTGGTTGCTATGGTGACTGGAAAAGGTACATTAGTGTCTAGGGCAATCAGCGCTGAAGCTTCTTCCCTTAAACCTCTCAATCAGGTGGGCAACCCATTGTACTTCCCAGGAACTGGGATCTTGCTTGATGTCATGTGACTTTCCTTTCATTACAGCAGTGCACACAATGTGGCAAGTCACCTGTCTGGTCAAAAGCAGATCGTAGGGAAATCTGCACAGCCACATCAAGGACTAGGGTAAAAGAGAAGCCTTGGCTTGGAAAAAAACAAACACACATTCTCACCTCGTGGCTACAGCATCAGTGTGATGCACAGCTGTCCCACGTTGGATCTAAGACCAAAAACTGAGCGATGACATGACACATGATGGTAATCAGGCGGACTAGATAGGGCATAGGGCATTTGTGTGGGGGGCCAGGCCTCCTAGATAGGGCGGGGGCATATAGAGGAACCATCCATCCATTTCTCTACTGCCACCACTGAATGCTCACTTTTCTCCTTCTCCAGCCTGTCGGCATTCAGTGGCTGCAGGAGAAAGATGGAGTGTCTGATGTCAGGGGTCTGACACCTGACATCTCACCGAAGGCCCCCAACAGGGCTCCAAAAAAAATAATAAAAAATAAAATAGTAAATAAAATAAAATGGTTAATAAATAATAAAACACTACTGATGACAGTGGCAGAACTGCTAGGGTCGCAAAGGTCACACTTACGATTGGGCCCTGGTGTTCCAGGTTCAAAGGGAAGGGCTCCTGGGCTTGGGGCTGCTCAGTCTAAAATACCCAGGGCTATTTTTTGTCCCAGTCTGGACCTTATGGTGATGGTCTTCTCGGAGTGAAGAGTGGTTACTGTCAGTCCCTGTCTCTCTGCTCTGCCCCTTCAACGCTTACTGGAGCACCATGATGTGGAGGGGGTGGGGAGCAGCTGGCTTCGGCTTTCAGCCGTCTGCTGAGAGCCAGCTGTCCATCAGGCAGTTGGGTGGAGCCTGACAAAATTATTGGGATGCTTTAAGAGCCTGGAGTGGCTCTGTGAAACCACTGATTTGAGTCACAGGAGATCAAGGGTAAGTGCACTCCTGTGACCCAGAAGAGAGGCATGGTCAAAAAAAGCTTTGGCTTGTACTTCTCTTTTAAAATATATTAAAATTCATAACCTTTTTTCTCATTTTGGATAGATTAGGAAATGGTTAGAACCTCTCTTTGGTTGTTCATACGCAACAGAAACTGAGAGATGCTCCTCCATGCGACTAGCCATCATCCCCTGGCAATGATTTTGGATATTCCTATAGGACAATTTTGCATATCTGCCAAAATTGTACAGAAGAAGAAGTGCTTGAAAAAAAGGCATAAGAATTGAAGGATAGGTTCCAAAACAAGGATATATTCATACAGCAATATCAATAGGGATATGTGGAGCAAGAAGAATTAGGATCAATAGTCGAAGGACCTAAGAAAAAAGAGATGTCAACTATACTAAACTGATCACAATGCATGACATGGTACTGGGGACAGTTGTAGTCTCTCTGTTAAAAAAGGAAATGGCGTTTGTTTATTATAGATAAAGCAAATGGTAGACCCATTCTACTCTATTATGAAGACACGCCCCACTTTTGAATGACCAGTTGGTCCGCAGTGAGTACATTTTCCCATAGAAACATGCTTGACAAGCAGCAGTTATTGAAGATTTATAAATGTAGGTATTAATCAATATGTCACATTTTCCAGGAGGCTGCAGGACCAGTCTTCTTGCTCTGCCAATTGGGCAGTGGTCAGCCAGCTTTGATTCATCAGGAAGTCACACCCAACAGCAGAGGGAAGAATCATCTGCAAGAAGACAGTACTGGACTATATGGGCTGGTATGTACCTGATTTTAAAAATACCTCTTTAATGTACTGTATGTTGGAAAAACATAAAAGATCATTATTAGGTGGATTCTGGAACATATAAGAAAGATAAAAAATAAAGTATTTCAAAATTCAGTTGCCAAAACATATGCGGCAGTGTCATGAGGGTAAAAGTGGATGAGATAAATGTTATCGAAATCTATAGGTTCAATGTATCAAAAAAGAGGAGATCGCGACCAATTACTTTTACAAAAAGACATTGATCTGCCATCCAGTGTGAGATGAAGAAAGAAATTATTAAAATTTTATGGATTTTTTAATTCTCTCAGCTTTCATAAGTAGATCTCCTTTTTGACAAAACATGAATTACCTTTAAGGGAGGAAGGAATAAAAAAAGAGCCTCTAGCACATTTTTGACAGGTAGAGTAAAAACACTAACCACACCTGAATGAAGTCTCAGTGTGAGATGAAATGCATCAGCACTGGATGACATATCTGGTGTTCATGTGACCAGTTCTAGTGGAGAATAGATGGGAGAGATTCTCTGGATTATTGTATCCTATTGAAAATATTGCATTGTGTGACACAGAATGTCCCCGTATTGCTTATTATAGAAAAGTATGCAAGCAGTGAAATCCTTTTTTGTTACTGAAGGTGGACTGACCAAAGGTCATAGACTAATGGCAGTTTACCATAAACTGATTTTGTAATCTATGTTGAAAACAAAATAGTCGCTTTGAGATGGACATGGTATATGTCTATAAATATTGTGTGAAAGAAGCATCATTAATGGCCCTGGTGCCCAAGATGAGGGTTGCATGTGGCCATTTGGTGTATTTTGTGCAGCCCTTGGACCTCAGCAGTCTGTAGTGGGAACATTGATTAGGGTGATTGCTTCGATCTCTACTAGCCTTCTGCAATATGTTCCAGTTTCGTATTGTCTTCTGCAGCATATCCCCAGCCAAATATGTAGCATG